TAAGATTTTAATTTCGCATGGAAGATCAGCAAATTAATTTTATCACCCTTAATGTTATGAATGTTTTCAAAATATAACTTTAATTTATTCTTAATGTTACGAATGTTTTCAAAATATAACTTTAATTTATTTTAATCCCTTTTATTAGTTTTGTGAAGTACTGTACTTTCAACCACCCAAATAAATTCGTATGAGTATCGTAGACAAGTTTTAATGAAACAAGTCAGTAAAGTAGTTACTAACCCTTATTAAATATCAGAATCATAGACATATTTTGATGAAAGACGCGAGTAAAGCAGTTGTTAAGCCTTATTAAATATGACATCTTTGATTATTTATCAGCATTATTATTCCGTTGCAGTGATACGTCGCTTTAGAAGTTAAGTTGAAATTTTAACTTTTTGACTTATCGAAAAGGTTTTCAGAATATCTAAATCGCATAATATTTGAAGTTGTTCATGAAAAACAATTTGAATCTCTGTTTCTAGGTTGCTCATTCCAAATATTTATCGAAATGCGAGTCTTTCATTTTGCAGTTATTACATTAGGAACTTTACGCGTGGTAACATTGACATGTTTTATATTAATAATCATTGTACTAATGTTTGAATTCATAATACAGAAAATTACTTCGTTGAAACAACTTCTTTTTATACAGTTTTAAGTAATTGATTTTTTTCTATCGTAGTAATCGTATTTAAATACGATTTTAAGGGACGTTTTGAACAAAAAGAGTGTTTAATTTTGGACAGGTATCCATTATTCATGTCTACGACTTCAATAAATGTCTACTGTCTGAGTAAAAAATGCCATCAATAACTAGCTTGAATATTTTATTTTCAGTTCAGTTTAGTATTCAAAGGATCTTTTAAAATTATTCTACCGTATAAAATGTTTGTGATTTTACAGAATGACAATTATAAAAAGTATTTTGTATCTTTCAGAACGTAGAACAACCAAAAAAAAAAATTATGTTTTTCGTATTATGCTGTTTGGACTCCGAATTTTTTAAGCTACCGCCACCGGTTTTTCATTATAAAAAACATATATTTTCGTTTTAAATAATAGTTAATTAAATTAGGAAATATAGAAATAGTTTTTATATTGCCAAAGTTTTCATCAGTAAATTTTAAATTTTTTATTCTCTAAATTACCAAATAAATTTCGAGAAAATTCATTTAAAAAAATTTTAATCCACTTTGTACTTACTTAACGATTTAAATAATAATAAAAAAATTCTTGCTCTTTCTTCGCTAAAAGTCATTAGGTTAGGTTAAATGTAGTAAAGGTTTTGGCTTAAATAATATTTAGGCATTCTTTTTAGAGAGATCCAATAATTACAGTCGAAAATCGGTTCGAATTCTAAATATGTGTCTGGATTTGCATAATTTAATAAGATGACTGTGACGCCTCATTGTAGCTTACGTAGTACTGTTATTTACTCTGTGGTGCCAGTCAAATAATATATATATATATATATATATATATATATATATATATATATATATATATATATATATATATATATATTAACCACCCCGTATTACCTAATCGTAATACATACACTGAATTTTTAGTTAAACATTTTTATGCACTGATTATTTATCAAATTAGTTATACTAATTCCGGAAGAATGTTGTGGTCACAGTACAAATCCACGAATGCAAAGACTTTAACTTACTTGAAATAAAGTTCATTTTTCTTTATTTTTATTGAACGACAGAATTAGTAATAATACAAATAAAACTGCACTCTTAAAAGTCTTATTGCCTAAAGTTACGGTCCATTTCAGCTTGTTTTGACTGTACAGATTTAGTGTGACTGTAATTTACGTAGTTTTACTTATTTTTGGGATAAAAATTACCTATACTGAAAATAATAGGAATCGATTCAGTAAACGATTCTGAACAAACTACTTTCTCAAAGTGCGTTAACTACGTTACATATTGATATATATATATATATATATATATATATATATATCATTACAAGTAACATTCAGTCAACGATATGACAGCCGTTGATAATGGTGTGATTCTAACCTATGTGAATGTGTGCGTGATATGTGTGAATCTCTGAGGAAGATTAAAAGTTACAGCCTATATACGTCCCACTGCTGGGCACAGGCCTCCCGCTCATTTCTGAGAGGGTTTTAGGGCAAGGAATTGTCCGCCGCGCTGCCCCAATACGTGTTGGTGAACTTCACATGTTCTTCGAAATATTTTTTTTCTTATTTCTTTGACATGCAGGTTTCCTCACGATCTTTTTTTTTTACCGCCGAGAAAGTCGTAAATCAGCACTTAAAATTGCAGATAACAATTTCATTGATGCCGGCGGGGATCGAACTCGGTTTGCTCGGGTACTGTGAAATTTACAGCGAGCGCTAACCATCTAAGCTACCACGGCTCTGAGGAAGATTACATAGGTTTAAATCCCGATAGTGAAATATATAATATTATGTACTAATATCATAAAGTTTTCTTTTCATTAAAGGTTTTCGGTAGATTTCCCTGTTTAAACGATGAATCGTTGTCGTGTCGGTATTATTGCGTTATGTCGGTATCCATTTCATTTCAATCACAAAGTAGATCAAACTACGAAAAGTTCATCTGAGTTCAAAAATGGCTTTTGTTTTGCATTAATATTTTTCTTAAAACGAAAACTACAGTCAGAATTTTTCTAGTCATTACATATTTCTATGTGGTAACACCACAAGAGCTAACAAATTGTTTGCCCGACAAATTTTTTATAGACATAAATAAGGGTGTTTTGCATTGTTAGAAAATCCTAATTTTACTAGAAAATGGCTCAACATAGTAAATAAGTAAAAACCAAGATAGCCATACAGGTGAATGATTATACTTTCTACAGTAAAAGTTACGAGGTCTCTCATAATGCTGTCGAAAACTTTTCAGCCCTCTTGATACTTATCAGTTCTCCCGAATTCAAAGAAATCTATGCAGGCAACACTTTTTAAGGAAGCGTTTGTAATTAAAAGGTTAAGGTGGTATAATATGAAAATATATTTTTTATAGCTGCAACATTTTACACTTTTTTGCCGCCAAACATGAAATATCCGGTTTTTATTTATGAATTTCGTGGTAGAGTCATGTTGCAGCTATATTAGTAGTATAGTTGTAGCACGAATGGGTCAGCTTGACCAGGGAAGGACCACGCTCTCACACTCACACAAAATAGCAGCTTAACACTGCCGTGCTTCGTATGGCAAGTGTAGAGAACCGGAGATACTCTTTACTGGAAATAACGCATTTGCATTTTGTTTCGTAATCGAGGATAGATGTAGATGTCTATGGGTCACAGCAACCGCTTACCATCAAATGGACTGTATGCACGGTTGTCACCCTTATCCTTTAAAAAATACATCGACGACGGTAACAGAGTCAAAGGTGCGAGACGTGCGGTACTGCGATTGGGGATCTCCATGTCAAGCGTGCCGATTAATGTAAATCCTTCCGGAAAAGCGGTTAGCGGGAAAAGCCCGTCAGTTGACTTCCTAAGCAGTGGACGTGCTTAGGTAATTAAGTTAACGGTGATTCTTGCTAAAAACATTCAATTTCATTTCATTTTTATTTTATAGAATTAGGGTGACAAACGCGCACAAATTCCACCTACTTGTAAGTGGATGCTGTAGCCCACAGACATACGTGTCAACCCTGACGACTAAGAGGGAATGCCTGATTACAGTAAAAAGGATTTCCGGTTCTCTAAACTCAAACATATTTTACGCTAGTATTAGACCTAGAGACCTAGTATTAGCCTATGAGAGCGTGACCCTTCCACGGTCGAGCCTATCCGTTCGTGCTACAATTATGTAATATAGCCACAGCGTGGCTCTACCACTATAAAAAAGTAAAATGTAGTTGGTAATAATAACGCAACTTTCTTAAATTGTTTTTAATATTTTTTTTAAAATGCACATCAGAAACATAATTGCAGAATTAATACTTTATGTAAGTAGAAGTGGTAGCTTAGAAGATAAGTTTTCGAAGTGGAAAGGGTCGAGTCCGGCTATGCACTTAGCCCTTTACTACGTGGTAGAGTCACGCTGTAGCTTTATTATAGTTATTGCACGAATGGGTTGACTTGACCGAGGCAAGATCACGCTTCCATAGAATACCAGCGTAATGCTGCTGTGTTTTCTATGGTGAGTGTAGAGAGACGGATACCCTTTTTACTGGAATCAAAGCATTCCATCTTAGTTCTCAGTGGTGACAAATAATTTGCATTTTGAATTTTAATTGAGGATAAATATGGATGTCTGTGGGCCACAGCATCCACTTACCATCAGGTGAAAAAATGGAGCGTAAATAGGCTCTAACTTTACTTTTTAAGTAGAAGTTATTATAATTATAACGAAGAAAATGCACTCTTATTTTAGATCTGATTGTCTGCGTTTATTTGGAAGCAGTAGACAGAAAAATTCTTTCAATTATTCTGATGACTGTGACGGCTAATTTATCATTGAACTCGTTAAAAGTTTATTTTACCTTACAATAGTAGACTAAAGACACGGCAATGTACCTTTATAGTGCATAGATAGTGTATATTGAATAGTGTCGATGTACCGGCCTCACAACAACTTCTCTTCTATCTGTTTCGTTTCCCGCCTATGAGACAATTCAACTTGACAACATGGACTGTACAACAAAAGACGCCTCGCTCTATTTAGTTCTGTTCTCTACCGTTGCGAGAATAATAGCTATGTATATTGTTTACTATCACAATTTCGGTCAGTGAGTCTACCTCGATTCGTTTAAGTGAAAGCAAACGAAAATCAGGAAATAACCTGAACTATAAATGATTTCACACCTGCATATTTTCAGCTGTCGTCAAAGTAGCAAATTTTAACAAGTGTAAACTTTGCTTAAAGTGAAGGACTGAAAAGAATTCTAAACATCTTTTAACTGTACAAATACTGAATCGAAAACGTCTATTTAAGTTCTGATGTGGGAGTACGCCTGTAAGTATTATTTGTGTGATTGGGGACGGTTGTAAACATCAGGCCGGCGGTGCGGCGTCACGTCGGTACTCGGTACGGCATCGTTTTGACCACGCGGGGAGGGATCCGCGGCACTCGGGCGGCCGCCGCCGCGCGCTACGCTCGCAACATGTCGGTTCGCGTAGGTCATCGCGATCGCGATCGCTTTTCGAGACATTCTTCCCGCGCTTCTGCCGATCTCGCTTTTCCAAGTAGTTCAAGTCGAGATCACTCATTTCGCTCGGTCCATTCAGGTCGCGTGCCGAGAGTTTCTAGCGATGACTTAATGGTACCTGTGCGCACTTTGCGCTCATCGTCGTGTCGTGTGACCTCAGGTGCACCCCACCGTCTCCGGCGACACCACTCTTCTGCCGCCGATTGTGAACGAGCTCGACGTTCTCGGCGTCATACACTAGAACTTCCCAATAGTCGCGGTCCAAGTGTTCGCAGCCGCTCTCCTGAACCGCCGCCTCTACCTCCGGAGCCTGAAATTCCGCCGGAAGATGCTGGAAAAGAAGCAAGGAGGCGTCGAGTTGTTGCAGCCGTGGCAGCATCGTTCTTCGCACTCGCGTTGGCGTCAGTGCTCGTGGTGGTGGTTACGCTGACACACAGCTCGGTTCTCCGCGCTCACAATCAAACAGCCAAGTACTACACGTTCTCCGTGCCGCCGCACCATCCTCTCAGTGAGCCCCGTTCATGTTGCCCCACCGTCGCCCCTCCCGCTTCGCATGCGACTGTCTCCGACCCTGAGTGTCAGGGGCTGCGAACGTCGCCGTGCCCACGCCCGCGCCGTCCGGTCTGCTCCTCACCGCCAACATTAGCGGTACATATCGTGCAGTACCTATATACACATTACGATATAATTAACCGGGGACTGAAACCACAAATGCCGAGCGATCTTCTCAAAGGTACAAAATAAACAAAAAATTTCATGAATCCTCATTTAAAAGGGAAAACAAATATATTCTTTCGAAGACTCGAAAGGAGCAGAGAAAGAAGTATAATCAGGGGATCGCTAAGCCTTTGTCAAATTAAGTCCCGGTGCACAGGGACCATACACGTTACGCACGTTCGCAACCCCCCTATCTGCATGAGTTGTTAGTCCATAATAGATGTCACGTGTTTAAATGTATTAATGTATTAATAATACCAATGAAATACATAGTTATAAAGAAATTAATATTATAGCTAATCAGGACTATGAAGTATATTTGGAAGAGGTTTTGTTTTGGCATACTATATGTAATTTAAATAAATATAATAGTATATCACCTTAGTATAAGAATGATCAGAAGAGCGAGCTACGGGCTTTCATATTTTTAAAAACATTACAAACGTCCATGTTACACCAATTCCGATAGTTGTTGGGATTGGGAACACTCTACTCGAAGTTGATGACGAGTGTGTACCTGGGACAAAATGTTGTTCTAATTAGGTAAGTCTAACTTCGACCAAGTGGTCAACCTACCATCCAACTGGGTTGCGTTCGGGAAACTGCAACGAATATTCTTGTCTGATATTCAGCAGAATCAAGTATACAACCAGTAAGTGTTGCCGATGATGACATACGGAATTGAAACGTGGTTTTTCACTGTTGGCCATACGAGATAGCTCAAAGTCACTGAGTCTGCGATGGAAAGAAATATGCTGGGAATTAATTTGCGGGATAAAGTTCCTAGGAGGATATGCGCAAAACAAAAAGAGTAACTTAGATCGTCCAGCGGATCAGTAAACTCAAGTGCCAATGGGCCGGCTATATAGCTCGAGGAACTGACAACCGATAGAAAAGAAAGTTTCTGAAGTGGTGGCCTCGTACCGGCAAGTGCAGTGTTGGGTGATACCTCACCAGATGGAGTGACGACTTAATAAAACACGCAGGCAGTCGATTGATGCAGGTGGCTCAGGACCGTACTTTGTGGCGATCTATGAGGACGCTTGTGTTCAGCAGTGGCCTAACGATGGACTCCAGTAGTGGTAGTGGTAGACGAAAGTAATTATTATTTTTAAAGTAGAATTGCCTTTTAACGTGTAGAATAAAATCACATAAAATTAGATTAGGTATGTAAACTAAACTCTTCTAATACATACATTAAAAATATCTATTTGACATATTATGACGTACATGTAGTTTTAGCTTCGTTTGAAGTTAGAAAGTTTTATTTTTTATATTTTTTGTTATTATTACACAACTATTTTGCACATTTAAACAGATAAGACTAAAGTTTACTTTATTTTTTTATGTCTCCCCATAAAAATGTGGCAACCATTTTACCATAGTTGCCACGCTAGTCGAGTGGATTAGAAGCAAAAAATTTTTTTGTTATCAGGAAGATACTGCAGCCTATCTCCTGTTTCAGTTTCCCTCTGTAGCCCCTTATGACACCCGCGAATAATGTAAAGTAGTGAATGTATTTTCGCCGCTACTTTACAGCACCTTCAAACGTTAGCAGCCCGTAAAGTCAGCACTGCAGTGATCACGATAAGAAGAACCAAAGTGTCTGAATTTATAACAGGTATTCTATTATAAAATCTAAATTCTGTTCCACACTGTAAACACAGATGGTATAGAATGGTGAATGTGTCTGACTATCATACTACGAGTTTATGTACTTAGGTATCACATAGAACATATATAAGTATGTTAACTGTTATTCTTTCTTCTTCTCATAATATATATAATAATCCCACCAAAAACATTTTCATGTAAAATGTTGCCAAGACGAGACCATATGGCTCGCACTCAAAGAGTTGTCAGGTCTGATGTCAACGGCCAAGCGACATATTTTGACTAAGTTGTAGAGTTTGGGAAGTTAAGCCTTGTAGATTTAGGGCGTGTAGAGTTAGAACCTTGGCTCTACATGAGATCTGTAAACTTTTTGACAGTGCAAGCATTGACTTATATATTACTAAGTGCAAGTCATATGGTTTCGTCTTCGCAAAATTTTACGAGAATTTTAAGACAATATTTTTTATTTTGTTCATTTTTATTTCTTTTTTCGGGGTGTATTTCAGCTTTCTAGGTCTTCAGGAAGTACCATAAGAATTTTGATGATCATCAGCGAGTGAGTGAGTGACAGGTTTTTAGATATCAATAAAATCTAAATTATAAGCGCTATGCAATTGAAACTTTACATATTTAATAAATCTACTATTGACATCATATCCTGAATTTTGTTTATCTGGTGTAATTCAAAACCAAGTTATGAGTGTTCAAAAAGTCGACGAAGCCCTTCGAGAAAAAGAAGGTAGGTAGTGTTAGTTTCGGTTTGGTTGGCTCGTGTTGGCGGGGACACTACCGTGCCCTCTGATCAATTGCTGTCCGTTGGTCTTGTTAAAACTCAAAAACGGCTCGAACGATATTGATGATTTTTTGTGGGTCCCTGGATGGTTTAAAAACTCATTTAGATCACCAGTGTCAACTATTTATTACATGTGGCATCAATATGCTCATTCATCGATATTTTTGAATTAAAAAATGCTAGGCTATGGACCATCGAGACTCCTCGATTACAAAATACAAACTACATCGATTACAATAGAACTTACGGAATTAAATTTTCTGCGTAACTTATGTTATAAATTGACACTAACATTTTCTATAATGCGGTGTTAGCGGTGTAGTTATAGTATAAAGAATTCAAGTTTTTTGAATTAAATTTGATCTTTATACTTTTCTTTGTACAGATAAATCGTCCATAGTTGATTATAAGTAAACATAATATGTTCACTTATTTTCAGTTATGAGTGAGAAATAGTGAGAAGATATAATTAATTGTTGAAGATAATAAATTATTTAAATAAATCAAAGTTGATAGTAGATAGTAATTCCAGCCTAAATTCTTCTTATTGCGCTGTAACCACAGGTCTGCTCTTATTTCTGAAAGGGTAGTGTAGCCGTTAATTTATCGCACTACTCCAGTGCGTGTTTACATGTTCCCGCCAATGAATAATATTTCTCAAACATTTAGTATTCCTCAAGTTTTTTTAAAATTCATCACGTAGTAAATCTTAAGGCAATTTAAACTTATAGGCGGCCCTCCTCATACCGAGTAGCACTTCTTTTGAAGCCAAAGAAAACTCTTTTTTATAAATATTTTATATTTTGGATAAAATGGTATTTACAACAGGGATTTAAACTATGGGCAGGCATTGTAGTTGAGCAATCCAACGAATACTTGCCCACAACACAGCATGTTTTCAACATAGTTTATTTGATAGCTGAAAAAAATATTTTCGTGCATAGCAATTGACAGACAATCGCGGATGTGGTTGGTTTTTTGTTTATGTTTATCATAAACATTACTCTGACGCAAGCTGATGCTGATTTTTGTGCCGCAGAGTAGGTTAGTCTCGTTTTAGATTTTCCAGGAATTTTTGACATCATAACGCAAAGGATTTTCTTGTTTAGGTATTTTCATGATTTTGATCAAATGTAGCGGTGTTTATTTTAGTATTTACTTATATTTTTTATTATCTTGATATTAAATGTGAGACTGAAACCTCGTTGAAAAAGAATTTCTTCACTACTGTAGAGGCGTTTAACGTATAATTGGCAAACAAATCCAGTAGCCACAATTATCAGTAAACAAAACAAATACTGAAACTGTACTACACAGGATCTACGGCGTCATAATAGACGGCTCCGTGGCGCAGTGGCTTAGCAATGACTTGTAGCGCTGAGGGCCGCGGGTTCGAATCCCGCACGGAACACGGTATTTGTATGGTCTACAAATAATTGTTCCGGGTCTGAATGTTTATCCTTGTGAAACTTATGTACATATGTAAACTGCCTCCACAATACTGGAGAAAATTCTATTGTGGAGGTAACGTTTTATTAATAAAATCTTCGAGTTATCCAGTAGTCAACTTTTACACACTTACGAGTTGATAACGTTTCCTATATCAACTAGCCAGAGGTTTTACGGTTATTTTGAGAACATTCTGGTCGCAAACTTTACATTCTGACTAAATTTCCAGAAACATTCCCAACATTGTGATACCTACGTCTCAAACTTTGGCCTATTTCAAAGGTGAAACTTCTTTATTTAAGATTAACTAGATTACATTTAATGTCAATAAACATTTTGTTTTAATTACGTTTCAGAGTGTTTACCTTACCTTTCAAATACATTAAAATGTACAAAGATTCAACTATTTAAACAGCGGTTATTTCGAATCCTTAGTTTGTTTAGTCCTACTTATTTATATTAGTAATTTATATAATTTTCTTCTTTCTAAATTCTTTGATTTCATCATTATTATCATCACAGCCTATAAAAAGCCCACTGTTGCGCATAAACCTCCTCTATAGATAGCCACATAGAGATACTTGCCAAGCTTGGCAGTTGGGCTACCAGCTGCAGCAGCCTAATCAAGTTTTTATCAGGAAGATGCTGCTGAGAATCTCCTGTTACGATTTTCTTTTGTCAACTTTTATGACACTCACGGAATGCCTATGGGTAGTGGATTCTCATATACCGCTACTATACAGCCAAATTCTTCTGTTTGTTTGAAGTTTTAAGCCCACGGCACCATCCACACCATCTGGATGCTTGGCGGTCCACCACTGTGCGATTTACTATTTCTCTTCCTAGGACGGCTTCTTTGTTGAATCGTTTAACATCGGCGATTTTCCGGACCGATACTACTTAGGAACCTTCAAGAAACGAGCTTTCTCTTTTTTAAAGGACCGGTGACGCACCTGCAATTCACCTGGTGTGCATTTATGCATGAGTGGCAGTCGAGATTATCAGGGCACAGCCTACTGACATTTCTGAGAAGGTTATGGAATAGTTAGATTCTTTTGTTTCTCAAATATACCGATTTATCATCAAGTGGTGTTTTATTTCACCAACGAGAACATATAAAGTGCGAGCAATAAGCAATTTTAGTGGTGCCAGCGGGGATCATCGAAAGCGG